CCTGTAAAATATTGCCCAATGGTTTTTGCTCGATACGCCTGTCATATGTCGGTTTTATTGGTTTAGAATCCACATAGATTTTACCTTCCTAATAATTTATGATATAGTTATTCAAAATGGATAGATATCCATTCCATGTCAAATACTACCGCCACGTCAACAATAGCGAAACTTAAACAAACATTTTCAACAGTGGGTTTACCAAATCAATTAGTGAGTGACTATGGTCCTCCTTTTAATTCAGAAGAATTCGTGAAATTTTGCCAACCCAACGGAATTCAACCTATTGAAAGTCCACCCTATCATAGCCAGTCAAATGGTTATGCAGAAAGATGGGGCAACTGTTGTCGCCTTTGAGATTGTTTTCAAATCTAAACCTAGAACTAAGTTAGATTTATTGCAACCGTGGGTAGGCTTCAAGTCGGGCATGAGTTTGGGGTCAGGTATACCTTCATCGGACTTACCTAGTAGTTCCCATTGGAAGTTGTATACTGTAGGGCAACAGGTTTTAGTTAAGTTGAAAAGAGACGATAAAAGGGGTTATATAGAAAGTGTTAAGTGCAGTGACCTATTTTGCTAAAGTGGCTAGAGGGGTGAAAATGGTTCATCATGACCAATTACGAAATGATAATATATCTAGTACAGCGTCATCGAATGTATCTATCAGCCCATGTATCAGAGACATCAAGAAATGATGCTGAGCCTTCTCTTGCAGCAACTCAAATTCCAGTCGTTGATTCTGATACTACCATATTGGCGAGTCCTGGTTCTGCTACTTCTAATCTAAGAAGGTCTCATAGGTCAATTAAGGCTCCAACAAGATTGAATCTTTAGAGGGGAAAATGTTATGTACTGTAATTATTGTGGTTTGTAATAAGTTGGCAACATGACTTAGGCAACCATGGTCACTTGTCAGTTTTCGGCAGTCACGTCATAGAAACAATGTCGTGTACATGTCGTATATTATTGAACATTATAATAAAGTATTACTATAATTTTGTAATAAAGTCTTTAACGTGTCTTTTGTTGTAATAAGAATTAAAAAAGTTTAAAAAAGTGTGTTTAAAAGTGTTTTTAACCGCCAGCTTAGTTGCAAAGCAACCCTCGAAAGTCAGAGACTTGTGTGAGTTAAGAAGACGGGGACCTTAGCTTTTTAAGTGTCATCCGAAGCACTACTCGGCTGGTAACCGTGGACAGTCCAAAGGATTGATATCTAGGTACCAAGAATGTTGGGTTGGCCACCTATCTCCTCCCGCCCAACGAAACTACCGAAAATTAATTCAGTGCTCGCGCCGGGGATCGAACCCGGACCGCCTGGGCAACAGCCAGCGACTCTACGCTCACGGCCACCAGCCCAGCTAAGGGCAATTATACTCAACTCCGAGTATTCTTTCAATACATTACAAATGTTTAACTATGTTCTACATAGTATGAAGGAGTATGTTATAATGCGCTCGTGTGGTTTCCAAGCAACAAAGTTTGTGTGTACATGGTTTCCACAAATGATTGTAACATGGTAGTGGACGTTGGACTGATTTTGCCATGTGTCGCTTTTCACCTTTGGTGAATCTAACTAACTAACTATGACAGTAATGATCTTTCAATCAAATATATTAACGGCCACTACAATGTTACAATGATTTGAAGAAAGCGTGTATTATTAGATCATTGAATGATAGACACATCATGCGAGAAGGTAATCTAATTTCACTAAGTAAATTAAATATAAAAATCACATTCGCCTTTTCACATGAAATCACATTTTTGTAGAAAAAATATAAAAGGTTCCATAAAAATCTACTGGATAAATTCATCGGCCAGCGAAGTAAATTCAAATTCGAAGATGTCCTTGCGCTCAAGTAAAAAAATCTAATTTACTGACCAAATTTGAAATCTTTTATTTTAGGACTACTCAGATATTAAACAATATTGTACATTACTACTAGCATCTGGGTAGTAGCTATTACAACCCCTTTTCATCCCCTTACCCCTAGACCAGAGGAAGGTTTGATTTAGTCAATATCAACGAAAATTCCACACCATTAATTTGTAACCAAACAAATTAGAATTTTTTGACAAGCACCATAGCAACGAATGTATTTTAGTGGAAATTTGTTTCTCTTGGGTAACCAACAGCGAATTAAATTAGCCATTAGTGCGAATCTCGCATCGGAACAGTGAATTCGGGTTAATTATAACAGAGATGGCTATATCTTTATTGACTAGTGGTTAATAAAATTTACTTAACTTTACGACTCGAAAAGGAGTAAATAATGGTAGATTTTATAGCTAGTTTTTTAGATGAAATCCCCATCATTATTTAAAACAACTATTTTCGCATATTTTTTGCAATCTTAATAGAGTTGAAATTTTTTTGATCATCAATGTAACGAATCTTACATTTTTCCGAGTAATTAGTGTTAATTTTAATAAATGGATCAAAATTGTACACAATGATTGAAACAAATTTGGATATTCGAGTTTCGTTGCTTTCCATTTTCTGAGCCCATTTACCCTAGTTATGCATATATATGTTTTACACCATCAGGAAGTAGAGATTTCAATGAACAAAGAGCCCACATTTTTTTTGAAAAAGCAGATATTTTGACGCGAGAATTTTCGATTGAAAATAAGGGTGCATTTCCGATATTAATTCAACATAATGTGAAAAAATGAATATTTCAAATCGAAAAAATCACAGTGTATTTGGCACATAAAGAGGTGTTTTCACAAAATAAAATAAAAATCCAAAAACTTGGTTATTTGAATTTTTCACATAAATGTAAAAAAAAGTGTATCCACAAGGATTATAGATCTTTTTATTACACAGAATACTTTGTTGTTCAACTTTTTGCCAAAGAACTCTTCCCAGCCATGCAGGGAGCTACAGGAATAGGAATCCTAGAATCACCCGATGGAACCTCTAAGGAACTGAAGGGGCTACACGTTACGGATCTGAGCGGGAAATTGAAAAAGAAGCCAGATTTACCTTGAGAAGAAGGTAGACAAGGCAGGCAAAACCCCATAGTGGAACTCACAAATGAAGTCCCCACCGCAAGGAAATCGGCAAACGTGGATCGGAATGTGGGCGAATCCATGGTGGAATTATAATATGGTGCAGAAAAGACGCATTCAAGATACCTGAGTAGCACCTGAGTAGTACCTGAATCCTCAAAAAACATTTCCAACTTGGTCAGTAAATTAGGCAGCCAGCGCTGAATAACCGACCGCCCCTTCTTCTGCCCTCACACGATCCCCTACGCTAAGATCACTGACCAGCAATAATTAAAATAACCATGATTTTCGGTATAGACGAATTTTCAGTCCAATCCGAACGATTTTAACTATGGCGGTCAATTCGAATTTGTATATTTCCTTGACAATGTCTGTGGTGTACAAAACTGATATATGTAGGAATATAGACCTAACGTCATAGCTAACCATCACCGGCTTCCACAGTATTTTTCAAAAAAATTACTTGAGAACCGATTTAACATTTTGAAGAAGCCGGACTTTTTGACTAGTTATATATCTTTGAGAAAGAGGTCAGTACGTCAACCATATTCCTACAGTAAAATTAATATGATATACATACCCGTTATAGGTAAAAGGGGGCCCAAAATGGAGAATAGCATCACGAAAATTATATTATTTTGCTCAAAGAGTAGGCATATACATAATATATACAGTTGACAAACATGTTTTTTCGGGAAAAGATCCATTGGTGCCACGTCGGAGGTAATGAGTTCAGATTCGGCCATAATAAACTTGTTTTTTATATTTAGAAAACAAAATCCACGGGTTGATTTAGTGCATTGAATTTTGAATTGTTTTTATGTACACCTGTTGGAGTCTCTGATGTATCATTAATCCGTAATTTTATGAAGCCAGAGAGGACATTTTGCCTTACCTCAGTATATTAAAGGTTCTGTATTCGATGATATTATCCTTGATTATTACACTAACAAGATGAACCATCCTTGTGAAAGCAATGAAGCCTGATATTAGATAGGTGGCGGTGTCTTTGAGCTATAAGGTGAACTATGTTTTTTTGAGTAACGAAGGGTAGAGATCGGTAACGCGGAATATATTCCGAGTTCATTTATAGATGTTTTTATGCAATTAAAAAGGATGTCTCATCAGGGCCGGACTGAAATATTTTTATTTACAAGCGTTCAGAATATCAAAGTTATAGTGATTATTCTGCTTCAGAAAGGATATTACCAGATAGTTCAGCAACTTGCAAATATTCGGATTCTAGTAGATTGACAAACCAGCCATATTTTGCAGAGTTTCGCTAGTGCTGCCTTTGAACCGGCCAAGAACTGAGGCCAAAGGACCCCGCACAAATCAAATGCAATTTCGATTTCTGTCAATTTACCTGACATTCTGGGGGAATGTATTTCAAAGTGTGCTGAGCAAAAGTCTCCATGGGGTCAAACGATTTCTATGAGTAGTTTTCGTGCTACGCTCTCGTGAATCCTCTGATGCTATAGAGAAAACTTGACTAAAGGATCTACAAAGAAGGTACACACGCACTGGTGAGATATCGAAATCGAATTAAGAAATTCCCGAAGTTTGCTAATTAGTTAAGCTATTTTTCTTTACTATATTTTACGTACATTAACATCTATCAACTTTCGTATCATTAATCATATCACCTGTTCTTTGCGCTACTCAAGGCCAACGAACGTGGACGTGACAGATACTTTGGCCTCTTTATATGACCCTGTATACACACACACCCACAATGCACCCACACAACCACACACACACACACCCACACCCACCTAACCTAACGTAACCTAAATTCGATTTCAATATCTCACAAGTACATGAGCACCCCCTTTGTAGATCATTTAGTCAAGTTAAGTTTTTTTCTAGCATAAGAGAATTCACGACAGCGTAGCACATAAACTACCCATAGAAATCGTTTGACCCCATGGGGACTTTTGTTCAGCACACTTTGAACTACTTTCTCCCAACATTTCAGGTAAATTGACAGAAATCAAAATTGCATTTGATTTGTGCGGCGTCCTTTGGCTTCAACAGTTTACATGAAGGTGCAGCATCTTGTTAGTGTAAATAATCAATGATATTATTCTCAGGTTTCTTGTACATGGTCATCGAAACATCACAGAAATTGATATCATACTATATTAATAAGTAGAGATACAGATTCGAATTGACCGCCATAGTTACAATCGCTCTGATTGGACTAGAAATACATCCATACCGAAAGTAATGGTCATTTGAATGCTTGCCACCGACCCTTTCTCTCACTCGATCCCGTGCGCGAAAATCATCACCAGCCCCGGCTCCACCATCATGTCGGCGGCCATGTGGCCGTTGTCGCAGGCCAGCACGAGCACCGCCTGCTTGCCGGGCACGCGCTTACACACGTAGCTCTCGTACTGCCTGCGGTTGTTCTGGCGCGTCTCCAACGAGCACAGCCCGGCAGGCCACCGTCGCTCGTGGCAGTTCTCCATGAGGTCGTCGAGGATGTGGGCCGGGCAGCCCATCTCCGTCAGCGTTCGCTTGATCACGCGCTAAGGAATTTGGGGTGTATACCACTGACATAACTACTATCTAGACCGCTAGTGGATTTAGGCAAGGACTTGGAACTGAAGATGCGATCGTCAGGGTAACAGACTTCATATCAAAAAATCTTAATCAAATGCTTATTATTATTCCTGGATTTGGCAAAGGCCTTTGACACTGTGTCGCACAGCATTTTACTAGACAGTATGTACAATTTGGGTATTAGAGGTATTGCCTTGGACTTGTTCAAATCCTATCTCAATCAGTGATCTCAGCAGGTCAAAGTTGGAGATTCCATAAGTAAGTGTTGCCTGGTAGAATGCGGTGTGCCACAGGGCACAGTGGTAGGTCCAGTCTTATTCATCATCTATATAAATAACCTAATCCAATTGGAATGTGGAGATGTGGTCTGTTACGCAGATGACACAGGTATTATGCTTCATGATACCACGTGGGATCCTGTATATAAAAAAGCTGAAGTAGCAATGAGAAAAGTTAGAACATGACTTGATACTAAATTATAGACCTTAATGTGGACAATTCTAACTTCATGTGTTTTACCTCAAATAAGGGAACCTATCCTTGTAATAACACAATAAAGATTCACACCACTGTCTGCCAGGACTTTGCTAATTGCAATTGCACTCACAAAATCTCATTAGTATCTGAAACTAAATATCTAGGATTGTTCTTTGATTCACACATGAAGTGGCAGTATCACGTTGAGTATGTAACAACGAAATTAAGAAAAATGTATTACAAATTGTATCAAATTAGGGATTGGTTGCCCAAGAAAAACGTAATAAATGTATACAGGGCCATAGCAGAGTCGGTTCTAAACTATGGTATTGTTGCATTGGGCTCATCCTGTAAATCCGTTCTGTCCCCACTAATAATAGCTCAGAAAAGAATCCTAAAAATAATATTATTTTGAAGCAGAAGATTCTCCACAGAACAAGTGTTTGACGAGGCTAGAGTTCTGGATCTTGAAAAGTTACACATAAAAAATGTTTGTAGGGTTATACTAAATAATGAATATATGATGCAAAAAATTTCGCATCCTATTACTACCCGAGCTATAAGTCTGAAATGCGTCACATTTCCTAGCACATACTTTACAACAATACGAAGATCACTTTATTATAGTGCCCCAAGAATATTCATTATCATACCCTCACAATTTAAAAATCGTCCTTACAAGTATAACAAAATAAAATTATTTTCTGGTTGCTAGATAATAACATTTCCTACTGATTAGGTATTTTATGATAGTACTGTATATACTTTATTAGTTTTCATAATTCCATTATTAATATCTTTTAACCTCTATTGTGAACCGTTAATTAACATTATTGTAAATTTAGTTGATAATAGTAAAATAGTAAAAAGCAGTTGATAATTATTAAACGTAGCACACGCACATTATAAGAAAATCGTGTGATACATGTTTATATATGAAAATAAATAACCTTTTTTATATATCTCAGCAACCCGTTAATTGCTCGATTGAAAACGCATGCAGGAACCCAAAAACTGTCGATTATGACAGTGAGTCATGTTCCTTTGTGTTCGAAAACATGAGTAAGAGCTAGTAAAATATGTGACAGGTAGGTACTGAATGAGCATGATTACTGTTCTCCAGTTCGATTTCGTGAGTAGCTTATCTTCTTTCTTACCCCTGATTTATACAAACCTACCGCAACGTACCTCAACGTGATGAATCAACGTTCTGCAAGCAGTACCGTTAGACGATGAAATAAAGTTATCATTTATAGATTTGTCTGCATTCGACACTCGCTAGTCTTGTCATATTACTTTTGTAATATGAATTAGCAATATATGGATTTCACAAATCGTGAATATCGTCAGTTATCATAGATATCGAGGGTAAAACTGCACTTCCTCGTAAGTGACAAAATGCAAATTTCACAACGACAAAAAAGTGTCACATTAATCGGAACAAAGTATAATCATTCAACTTTTTGAATGGTATTTCTTGGAAATATACTCTCCACAGATATGTCGACATTAAAAGCATAATCAAAATTTACAAAAAAATTGCGTTATTTACGAGGTACTGTCTATTTTTCGATTGTTTTCACAAGGTACATGAGATGAAAAATTATCATCCGAGAATAAGTCATCTAGGTTGGATTGTTGTGCAACTAACAATTTTTTTTTCGTTCGTTCAGATGTCATTTGGAAGATAATTATTATTCACTTTGATCAGAAACGTGTAACTACCGCCGGTAGAATGATTATTTCAACATGCAGGACCCCGTATGTAAAAACTGGATATGAGAAATAATATAATCATTCAGGAATAATCTTTCCATACAGGAACATTATTTCAAAGATATCATGATAATTTCTCAAACTGATGAAGACAAGAATGAAGCATTAGGAAATCTCCCTACCTTTAGAACAGAAATTTAGTTTGACAACAGCACACTACTGTGTACTGTTCAGAATCTCAAGTTAAATAACATACGAGGTTATGTTTTTCCATATTTTTGCAGAAACCACGTGAAAGACTGCAGCCTAACTCACCCGAAGATGGAGGTTGATGTTCTGAAGTACTTTCAATAAAAAACGTGATTTTCATAAAAATGTCAGTTACGAGGTAAAATCTAATAATCTATAAATCAGGGGTTATGGTATTAGAAATCATGGCATTAGCGGTCTAGATAATATAAATATATTATATCAGTGATGTATACTCGTTTTCAAAGATCATGGGTGATATGAGCTCTCTAAATCACGAATACAGTGAGAACACATACATTGTCCAACCATTGTCGTTCTTAATGAAAACCTAGTTAGTGGGCGAGAGGTATAATATTGTGTGTCCATTGACCCAAAATTTGTCTGCCAATCAATGGCACTAGTTTACTGAAAACATCAAAAGCTCATTTGTTTCAATAGAATATTTGGCAAAATGGGCGTTATTCAAAATCACCGCAAATATATTTTTTCATTAATTAAATTCGGCACCTTCGGAAAACGCCAGCTTCGATGACGCTATGAACCGAACCGAATGTCATCGTTATCTGAATCCTGGCTTTAGCATAAAAAGTAGAACCACATATTTCGACGCTGCCAGATTTGTAACTAGTAATTAACTACCTTATGAGATTCAATATGACCAATGACAACAGTATTCACATTCACAGATGACAATAGTTCGACCTGGTCCCTAATAATCACTTTTTGAATACTTATATACTCGCAAGCTGCTTCAGTACCAATAAAAATATGCTAGTATTTCTAATAATGATCGAGATTTCATTTGAACCCCAATTATTTCGTGGTCCTGACAACACCTTAATGCCTTGAGTTCCCAGACCTAAATTCCTAACGTCAATATCGTATGTCACCATCTTCAAATCCTTGTTTCATCTAGTCAAGTTGCGAATATTCAAAGATATTACTCTTATTATCCGATCCTGCAGTTGTGTGTTCAGTCCAGAAAACTCACTAGAGTCTAGGGCGAGGACCTTCTGAGTAGGCGAACTTTTTTCATATTTTCATTGAAATGACAATCAGAAATATTCTTGCAGTTGCCTTACAGAAATGGAGGGTAACTACGTCACGAGTTTCCCCGCGTTTTTCATGTTACGAAATAACGTAAATTTTAATAATCATATGAAAAATTTACAGAGCTCTGTGGAAAAACGGTTTGCGACAGTGAACTAGTTAGGGTTAGTACTTCGAAATAATAAAATAAATGTTTTCACTGGAATCGGCCCGTTCTGATTTGATTGTCTAATTTCAAGCTAGTTGTTGGTTTGTTGTTCGTTTGATTTTTGTGTTCCATTTCGCACTTCTACAAGAGGTATGTGTTTCTTTAACACTCCTTTATCAACGATAAATTTGGAGCAACATGGAATTACTTCCAACAACATCAGGTAATAGTTTCTTCTTGAACAACATATCATTATACACTGTGTCCAAGATAAGGATGTTTATCATGGGGCTCGTTTTTATTTTTTTCTGGCGTTATTTAGAGAGATATGAGAAAACAGATACTTCCTCATTGCCACTTTCCAAGCTCTACAAAACAGCGTTAACAGATTCTCCGTACGTTTCGTTCTGGAGAAACCATCATCAACTTTGCCCCATGATAGACATCCTTATCTTGGACACACTGTATATTCCAAGAATGAAGATAATGTAGTGGATCATAAACAATATAAAAGTAAATAAGCAGCTCCTGTTTTTTTATTCATAGCTTTCATGCCATCATTTCGATAAAGTGTGAACAGTAATGTTTTATCACATCATTCATGAGTTTCCAGTTCGACAGGTAGGTGGACCTTGACAGGAATACGAGAAATTGTTGTGGTTAGGATAAGAAATGAATAACTTAGATCGAAATAGAGGTCACTAGGCGAATAAAGACGAGTTTTCCATTTTTTATTACTGAACAGAATAATAATTATATCTCGCCTACTAACTAGGTTTCATTTAGAACGACGATGTTTTCTGAAGACAAGATAATGTATACTTATACTATTCTACCTGTAGAATTTCGTCTGGAGTGGAAATCATCCCACCCCATCGAGTGACTCTCGCCCTCTGTAAGGAATTACTCCAACGCAGTGCTTCATCTCTCTCCATAGCATCAGCTATTGCTCTCATTGAAGGATTCGATATTCTCATTGCCCTCATGAAATCCTAAAAAATTACGTTCCTACAATAATACTTGCTAACACTTGTATATAAGTGAGTTTTGGTATTAGCCTCAAAAATTATATATCATGTTTCAGCTCCTTACACAATTTTTGAATTGAGTCGGCCGTTTCTCGAAGGAAATCTATAGTAAATTTTAAAAACTTCAGGAACGATAAGATTTCCACAAAATTCTTAATAACTCGACATGTTCCGCTAACACAGAAGTTTCTTCAAGTGAATACGAGTGAGTACAATAAACTCAGCCAAAATTCGTCGTGAATTGATCGATATTACTGAAATTCAGGTTTGAACTCAGACAATCTGATGACGTAACCACGATAATAGATTACACGTAAAGAAACGAGCAGCCTGCCCATTATTGAAAGCTGTTTATCTAACAGCAAGGCGATTGTGGGGAGGAAGGCATCAAAACTGACCCAATAAAAATTAGTGTTACATAGTTTATTTGCAAAAAAAAAAATTTTTACATAAATTTATAACTAATACTAGGGCCATATATTCTATTATGATTACCATCAGAAGTCTCAGATGAGATCAAAGGGTGCCGTGAGATAGGGCCAATTTGGCCTTGCTAATCATACAATAAACATCAATTTTTATCAATGCCGATATTTTTTATAATCTCTCTCACTTATGTTACGTTACATTGCCCAATCACTATAATTCTCGACTGTATTGTATTCGGCGGATTATTGATATAGCACTTTGCTATCAACGCCGCCAACCTTACTATTCAGTTTATTTACAAGATATGTTGTAATGTTTGTTTGGATTACATAAACTAAATTAGCGCTATACCAAATTACATTAAATGATATCTTTAGTCGTTCAAGTTTTGAATGGTAAACATGTTTGAAGAATTGCAATGTAATAATGTTGACAGTGGTTCCAAAATGCATCAGAGCATTCTATGTATTACCACAGAATACCCGGTATTCTGTGTGGTATTACTTAGCATTTCAGAAAGGTCAATGGAACAATAAGTACCTAGATAAAAATATTCAAGCAATGTCTGACATTGTCTATGAACGGAGAATCTTTCAAAAAATTCATTCTAGCATTTATGTGTGTTTAATTATAAAAATGTTTCATTTGTGGTCAATTCAATAAACCATCGATCAATAATGAACAATTACGCATCACTTCTTGAAAACCATAGACCACTACACATTGATCATTTTTACAGGAAAACTCACCTTCAATAACTGCATTTCTCGTCTTTGCTCAGTGAGCAGAAATCTCTGTTCGTTGATTTCCTGCTGAAATTCGTTCATCTTCTGCTGTTGTGTATGAATGAGGGCTCTCAGTTCCTTGATACAATTATGGTCTTTCAGCTCATCTTTGGGTATGATAAGACCACACCCCTAAGGCAATATCAAAAACAGTCGATTTGAAAACGCCGAACTAAATAGTTATCAATATCGGACAATGTGAGTTATGGCAAAAGTATGTGACTCACATTTATACGACATTTATATTTTAAAACGGTGTTCCTCATTTCATTCCTGAATACGGTCGCGATAGGGATTCAAATTATCGGGATCGAAATCTCGTTTCGAATTCCCGGGGCAAAAAACTATAGATCTCGGAAACCCGTAATCCCCGGTTTAACCCAAGCACTTTCTTGAATCTAACGCCAACAACAGAAGCAACAATAGTGTCGAAATACATCAAAAAATAAAATCCCAATGAAAAGAGTACAAACATATTGAATATTTTTTTTACATTCAAGGAAATATAAAAAAAACATCTTTGGTTATGAAACATGAAACTAACAACTAATAATAGAAATAGTGAGGAAAATTTATCAAGATGTGCAATTAGGTTAATTTTTAAACATCTGTGTTTCGCTATATCAAAGACTGAAACCTTTGGCTGACTACACTGTTTTACCACTATCCAAAACGATTTTTAAAATCTCCTGAAGATGCTAACATTAGCCAAACACGTATCGAGGTATAAAAAATTGGTTTGTTTAGTTGTAGAACAGTGTGATCTGCGTTTTGCTTTGAAAAAATATAGAATATGGCCTTGGAAAGGAAAAAGCGTCTAGAGTCAAGCAGTTCAAAGAAAAAAAGAATAAAGCAGATTGCGATTTCATCATCATTCAAAAGAATCGTTATTTTCGAGATCCCGATTTTTCAATCCAGGAATTTTCGGGACGTAAAATCTTCCGGGATCCTGGATTGAGAACCCTAGTTGCAGATAAAATGGCAGGTTTCGTTCAAATTGAAAGCATATCTTGAAACAGCATGTAATGTTCATACTACATGTGTCAATTTACTCTCACTGGTAGATAGAGTCGGCTAATCTTTAATCATGGGAATGCCAACGGATGGCATAATTCCAAAATATAGCTTTGAAAAAACTTTTAAAATAAGTATAACGGACAGAGAGGCATGGAAGGAAGGACCTCCTATCAATGCAGACATTGCTGTCTATACGGACGGCTCCAAAACTGAGGAAGGATCAGGAGCTGGTATTTATGGGGCCAAGCCAAATACAAGAATCTCACTGAGCTTAGGCAAATACGCGACGGTGTTTCAGGCAGAAATTATTGCAATACATCATTGCGTCAAGAATTGATAAGGCAAGAGTTTAAAGGCAAAACCATTGCAATCTATTCAGATAGCCAGGCGGCAATCAAAGCAGTCAACTCTATGCAAGTTAACTCAAAACTAGTATGGGACTGCTTATAAACCCTAAATGCACTGGGCAGTCAGAACAGATTGACTCTAGCATGGGTACCAGCACATACAGGGTACGAGGGCAATGAAGAGGCAGACTCACTTGCCCGAGCAGGAGCAAACAAAGCTCTTAATGGTGGAACAACTCGCCAGGAATGAGACAGGCAAAAGAGTTTATTAAAAAACCATCGCCAACATTCACAGAATATCTACTAAGCCAGAAACGAAGTTCAACTAGAATACTAGTGGGACTTCTCACAGGGCATTGTAGGTTCAACAAACACATGAGTACGATAGGTCTGACTGAAGAACTGCTGTGCAGGTTCTGTCAAGAGGAAGAAACAGCAGTACACATACTTTGCCACTGTGAGGGCTTGTCAAGACTAAGGTTCCTTACGCTGGGTGAGGAAAAACCAGAAGCCCAGAGATACACAGGAGATCTGAAAGCTAGCCTATGGAGTCTCATAGAGAAGGCGGGGCTAGCCGATTTTGAGGGCAGACACAATAGATCTGAAAAGGTCGCAGTGTGGAGGCAGATAGCCCGAAGGCCCCATTCCAAATCTAATCTAATCTAATCTAATCTTTAATTTCAGCTCTATTGAGGATGGCAACTTTAGTGTAATTGGTGGGTCATTTGTCATCTACATGTCCTAACCTAACCTGTATTCTGTACATATTCCAGATGTTATTGATCAATCTGAAGGCAGAATGCAACTGCCGTGATGATCATGTTCGTTTGGCAGGTAATCTTGAAAGCATGTAGCAGATTTCACAGGTGAGATTGCAAGTCATGTCCCTTTCGTGCGATCCAAGCGATAAAAAAAATTGTTTATTGATTCACAATGAATTACTATCACAATAAACAATTATGGACAGATGACATGACTTTCAACCTTACTAGTGAAATCTGCTTCAAGCTTTCATTCATCACGGCAGGGTTGTTTCATATTGCTCCTGTGTGGTAGCAGTATTGGAATCACTGACTGTATGAAGATAATTTAAATAGGAAGCAAGGTTACTATGTAACTGTATTCTCTGACTACAGTAGAATGGAAATACTTGGAACTGCGGGGTAAATTGGAACAAAACTACATATTCTCAAATTACCCCCTAAAATCTAAAGCTGGTTTCATTTTGAAACATCGTATCGTGCATAGTTGTTCAGTATGGTTATACACTAGTCGATAAAAATAAGTGGCGTTTTAATATAATATTGTTTATCATAGTGAAACTATAAGCGTGGATATGAGAGAAAAGTAGCATTGAAAGCTTCATGTCAAAAGACATGATCGATTCAATATACGGCGTTCATTCTATATAATATAACTTATGTTTAGTAACCATTTCATTAGCAAAATGCTGCGATATCACTGCTCAACTTGTGACCAATACATTTTTTTTTATTACGAAAGTCAGATTTGGACAAATTCCCCGAAAACTTGAAACAGACGCAAATGATTGTACTTATCTGTTTGTGATCATAATAGGTATCTGATAAGACCTTCCCTCTATCCAGAACCCTACAACAGCTCCTTGAACTCCCCACCAACAGCACCAAAGAGTTCATTTTTGAGCTTTTTTTCGATAAATGAGATTTTACTAAGTCTTTTTGCTGTTAGGAATTAGATTCAAGAGATATTTTGAGTATTCAATGAAATACATTCATAACAATGCTAGATATGATGTATTCCCTTTGAAATATTTTATGTATTGGATTACTTCAAGTGATTCCTGATTGATTTTAGATATCACTAAAAAAAATACTTATGTACCCAGTATGCTCAGGAGTCGATAAATTGACAACAAGACTTTTGTTTTCCTGCGGGTAACTTGGAACATTGATATTTTTTTAAAATATCTTCCTAATCCTTTTCATAATTATAGTACAGTCGAATTAAAAAAAAAAGCGTACAAGTATATTGGAGGGAGAAATTAACGTCATCCTATTTGCCAAAAACGGGCTATCAGGAATGAATGTTCACCAAATGTTGACAGTAGAGTAATCATAGTTTCTCAAAAACACAAAACATTGGCTGAGCCAATTTTACACAACGAGAACTAGGATGCCGAAATCTTCCATGTTTAATACTTGAACGCTTTTTTATTGAATACGACTGTACATCAACTCATACATCTTTTAGCAGAGCAATATTCCCTACCATGAACAATAACTTTACCATATGTATTTGTATCTGAAAAATGTTCAATGTATCCCCATTCTACGGTATTCTAGATGTTCTTGAGGAACACAATACAAAGTTGAGACATGATTTTTCAACCCCAAACCGCAACACAATAAGGGTTAGGTTGTCCCGACCATATTTTCAAAACATGACACTTCAACGCCTGTTCCTTATTAATTTTGAAAGAATCATATTTCCTGAATTTTGTTCTTGTAAAATGTGTACATCGCTACTTATAAGTTGAAAAGCAACTCCCCTGAGGCCAAAACTTGTACGGGGTCAGAAAGAGCAGGACCTACAGCCTACAGTTTATAGTGGATGCGAACTACTTTTAGGGCGCCGAGCGCTTTACAGGACCTACATCCTCACCAGTGCCATCTGCTTCGAGATATTTCATTTCAAGAAAAAACATGCTTTATCTGGATCCAAGTAATTTTCATGGCTCCTTCGAAATAATTGTCATACTCAATTTCTCGTCCGCCAAACATACAAACACGCCGAAAAATACAATTTACCTCAATACATAGATGAATACAATTTTTGTAATAAGGAATGTGTTTGTTATAATGATTCACCTGTTCACATGGTAAAGGACGCTTGGGGTTATGCTCACATTCTTCAAGATGGGCAGCCAGGGCGTCGAGTTTTAGTATACGGGTACACCCATGTTGGGCATTATCACAATTAATACACAATCTAAAAAAAATAACGTATTTTTTAAAGTGAAATCTATAGAATAACAATCAAAAAATTAATGATATGTAACTCCCAAATAGTGGAAAACACGACGTGACGAGACACACCGTGACCAATCCAATGCAATTACCTATATGTGATACAACTTATGTATTGTGTTATATCCCAGTATACCGGTTGACACATACAGGGTATCGGCACAGCATAAGGATTCTTATGATGTGGTAACGGGCCTCCCATGTAACTTCTGCATTCATCAGCCTATTTTTATGAAATTTGGTATAGTTATATAAGCAACCATTGCGGATTTGATCACAGTACAATCCAATATAGCAGACTTTCGATTTTTCTGGAAATGGCAGCAACTTTGTTTTATCAAATGGAACACCCTGTATATTGTTACATATTCAAGTCAAAACAAGTGCAGTATTTATGTCAAATGTAATTTTTTCGAAAAAATTTAAATTGTTTTTCATTTTACCTCGTGAATAAATGAGATGTGGTCAGTCATTCACAATGACATTTCACATACTTACTAGAGAAACATATTTTTTTCTGAAAAATTATTTTGAGCAAAAATTCATTTTTTTCAAATGGAACCCCCCCACCTACATGTCTCTCTAGAAGTCTAGAACATACGATAAGGAAAAAAATTACAAATAATTTTTATATTTCCGTACAGTATAACTTGTAGGTATACATTCAAAAATCAACAACTAGTTTCATGAATTTGCTTGCAGCTTGAAAAAATTTTCAAGTAAACTATGGGAAAACAAAATTTCTGAATCTTGTCACTTGTTTTGACCTGTTGAACTTGAATATGAAGGTATATACAGGGTGTTCCATTTGAAAAAACAAAGTTAGTCGCATTTCCAGAGAAAACGGAAGTCCGTCATATTGGATTGTAATGTGATCAAATCCGACATGGTTGCTTCAGAAGAATCCGTTCACGAATGCAGAAGTTGAAGGCGTGGTCCTATACCCCTGTACCCCCGATACCCTGTGTCACCCAGTATAAACCCCAATGTTAGAAGTGAACTGTTGCTATGTTGCTCTCATGTGTTGTTGAGAAATATGAAAAATATAATGCTTGTCCGGGTAAAACGTCAACAAGAGCTAGCGATTTTGAAAGGTGCTCTTTGATTATTGACAGAGAGGTTTCCTGGAAATTTTAGATAACTCCATTGAAACCAACATTAGAGTGAAACGCAAGAAGAAATACATTATGCTACATGATGAACTAATTCAGTTTTTACATTTCAAGTCAATGGCTCAATGAAAATTTAATATCACCTCTCTAATTATGAGAATTAAATATGGTTTTGAAGATTAGCAACTAATTTAACACGTTTAAATTTCAAATCGAACATTACAAGCGCCTAAAGATAGTAAGAACCAATCAATCAATTCGACAAACGAGAGGGAAGTATGGAGCAGCTACTAGATTGAGTAGATTAGATAGAGTGATGACAATAATCCTCCAAATGACTGCCGTTTCCGAAATGTCATTCGTGGTCAAGTCACTGAATAGCTAGAAATCTGAAGGGTATCTCCCATGCAGGAATGAATTTGCGCCTTTGAAGGGCCCACCTGATGTTCAGATATTTGATATTTTCATTTCATCATCTGAATAATCTGAGACTTAGGAGTCCCAAAAGACGGATCCTAATAGTTTATATCCAAGGTACTGACGTATAAAGTTTCATGTCTGATTTTTGGATGTTTTGTTTCCAAAGAGCAAACAATGGAGAGAAAGCATTGGCAATGTGGAATAGAATGCCTAGAACTGAATGGAGAAAAACAAAAGAGAGGTGGATGCACCTCCATAATAGAGGTTTGACCAGCTCATAGTTGGGTGAAAGCTCTATCTGTCTTTGTCATACATGTGGTGATAAAGATGGGCATCCTCTCTTCAATGTTTCTTTCAGAGCTTTGTAAGAAATGGTAAAGAAAAGGTGAATCTAGTAGCTTAATAATATGTAGTGGAAAGATGTAATTTAGTCCTAATAACATGTAGTGGAAAGATGTAATTTAGAATGTGTTTTGCTAATAAGAATTCTCAGGTATAAGAAGAGAAGATCAAGAAAGACTTTCTCAATAATCTCAATAGTCACAATATCCTATATCTCAATTATAAACCATTCAAAAGCATATGTTCATGGAAAGATATAATAGTATTTTATCTAGTTTTTTAGATTTCTGGAGTATTAGTCATTGAAATTGATTACTTTGTACAAAAAAGTCAAAAAATTCTCAAAAAAATTAGAAAAATGATCCATTTTCAAATTCAACTAGAATATTTCATCATTTTATACATTTCAAAATACTCTTGTCTTTCAGTATACTGAATGTCAATGTATTGACAGGGATGTTATTTCTCATGTCTACATATTTTTTAATGCTGTAATTTTTATAAAATAAACATTGTTTATAATACCTATTCTGAAGAATTCTACAAATAAAAGATCCACTCACTGTATATGCATTAGCTTGCATGGATTATTTTATTAAACAGTGCACACATAATGTATGGAATGGAAACATGAATATTATACCTTTAACATCCCCATATAGGCCCCATATCATGTTTATAAGCAAGCAGCAAGAAGTTTTTTGAAGTTTAATAGGGAAATGGTAAGAATAGTCAAATGAATCAATCTCAAAAATCAGTGATCCATATATACAAATACCTATTGCACAAAAAATCTGTGTGTTATAAACTTTATATTCTATTCTATAGGTATAGGTATACCTCATAATTGGATAATGCACTAAAAAACAAATTGGGTTATACCTGGACAATAAATTTCTCAATATTCGTGGTACTTGTCTCAACTGGGGAGATGTTACACTCTGTCTATCAACTGGACATGTAGGTTGTCTTGAAATCCATTCTGTTATGCAAGATTTACAAAAAGCATGTTCACAAACTGGAGCCTGCAAAGTTGAATATCAGAAAACTGATGAATTATTGATGAGATACGAATTTTATACCTGTAGGGGATCTTCCAAAACTCCTGAACATATCGGACATATCAGCTCTTCATCAACTTCTCCTTGAAATCTGTTGAGTTCGAATCCCATTTTTATTGGAGATCCATATCAACTCTCCTGAAACATTTCAGGACAATTCTAATTGGCCCCTGGTTAGCTCTAGATGTTCTTTCAACAGTTTCAACAAAATTTGTAAATGCTGTTTTTTGCACTCACTGACGTTTCGTTTGTTGACCTTTCTTTTCTAGCCGCCCCACCACCCAACGATCAGTCTGAATCAGTCAACAGTCACTGTCATCCATCAGCCAATCAGTATAGAATTATTCATTCACACTATGAATTCATTTCCACCATTGTTGTGCCCACGACAAGAAATCATTAAAAAAAGCTAGAAAAGTAGCCTTAAAAAATCATAATTCAGTCCGCCACTGCCGCGTTCATACAGGGTATACCAAAAACCGATCTATAAATTAGTCAATATTACAAATACAACATACAACCTGTGATACAACTAATACTTTGCCATATACGTTTTCGTAAGTGAGGTATTGCAGTTAGGAATTCTTTAAATGAATATGACTTCCCCACATTATATTTTTGATCCAGAAGTATATTTTCATAATAATTAAAGTTAAGTACCTGATATAAGGTTAATACCATACCATATTTTTTTACAATCTTCAATACAAATACCATATTTTTTTACAATCTTCAATACAAATAGAAAATGTTCAATTTAATGTTTCTTTTAATAAATAAAATATATTCAATAATCTCAAATATTTCTTATATTATCTTTCAGATTAGCCCAATCAGGTAGCCTATTTTCCTTAAAATAAAACTCCTTTGTCACTGCCTTCATGTTCAGCAGCTCTGTAGCCCCATAAATAGCTCCACCTAACCAAGCAGCATAATTCTCCTTGCAAGGGGGAACATGGAATGCAAAGGTTTTGATGTTCAACTTTTTGTATCTATCAAAAGTGAGCTGTTTCTCTAGCTCCTCCTTGAGCCTTGCCTTGAAACCAGGTGCCATAGTTGTGCCTCCAATGAGAAGAATGTTCTCAGCTAGTTTATATCTCAGATCCATATTGGTTTGCAAAAGAGCATCTAGTATTGATGTTGAAAGGCATAAGTGATCATTGTCTTCCTCATATAGAATTTCAAAAGCTTTCTCTCTCACTTTTCCAGACACTAAAATGCTCTGAGTGCCCTCAACTGGATATTTCACTTCAGGGCATACAGAAATATCAGATTTGCTTGAAGCTAATTGTTCAGCTCTGGATTTCTCAGTTACAAAACAACACCGAATTTTGATATCTTCTATTATTGAATCAGGTAAGTTATGAATGCCGGTATTGTTACTATCCAAAAGTCTCCTCAAGTTGTTGTGAATAGCTTCACCTCCTATAGGTAATGCTTGCCATGCTTCAATCAATGGTATGCCATGGCAAATGGGTATAATGACAGCTTCTTTATATCCAACATCAACAACCATTGCAGTTTCAATAGCTAAGCTGGACAAGCTCACCAAGTGTGATGGCAAAGTGAACATCATGGATATTTCATAATGTGAAAACAATACTTTTGCAAGAGTTTCCCGAAATAATGTTGGACATAACAAGGATTCCACTACAACAATTGGTCGATCTTTTGGACTCAGCAAGGCAAATTTGAAATATATATTGTAGATAAACTCGACTAACAGATCATAGAGATCATCAACTGACTCAAAGTCCCATATTCTTCTCATTTGATTCTTCCTTTTACATCTGACTTCTGTCCTGAATATAGCTCTTGGTGCGAATTCTCCGGTAAAGCCAAATTTTGTGAATGCGGCACCAATATCTAGAACGACAGTCAGCTTATCGCTTATCAAAGTTTCAAAAACAGGCATAATGCAATCAAGTTTGATTTTTACTTTCATTAATCACTCATGATGAGTTTCATCATAAACAAAAACTATAACCTCAATCTCTGCTCCCTCTACAATCTTCTATTTTTTTTGGTTCAATGTAAGGTGGCTATAATTATAGCCACCTTAGTTCAATGACTGCTAGTACCAGTAACCAGTAGCACTAGTAGCAGTCTGCTACTCGTGTTCATAGCTCCAAACTCACTCACTATATTGTCAAAAGTGTCATCAGTCAACCAATATGTCAGTGATAACTCCTGTCATACGTCATCCTGGTATTATCAGATGTTGATGTTGATGTCTGGTTTCTGGAAGTTTTGGTTGAAGTCAAAATAATTTCTACATGTAGTTATTTTTGTCAAGTTTTGCAATATTATTACTTGTATCAGTCCTGGTGGATATTGATATAGTGTTTTGAGTGAAAAATGTGCTCGGACAACCTCACGCAGGAGTCAGCACATACTCTTCCTCTTCAAACCTTGTGTAGAAGTCAGGTAGCTTTTCAGGTCATCTCATCTCTGATAATTTGAATTGGTAAGTTGAATTTAATCCGTATATCTCTTATCAAAATGTGAGCTATCAGCTATGACCCCAGCTAAGATCAAAATATGATTCATCTCACACTTGACCTCACTTGTAACCAGTATGTGGTATGGGGTCATGAGAAAAATTAGGTAGCAACTTTGACCCCAGAATCTATTCAATAAACACTTAGAAATATGAATTCAACAGAATTACTAATGATTTCAGAGTGAAATGCATAGAAACATTCGTCCTAGTGCTAAGGGCAGTACATCAGATTTGGGTTATGTGTCCAAACAGTATGATGGAAAGATTGCTGGATTATATGACTTGGAAGAAACTCTAGGCCGTGGACATTTTGCAGTTGTCAAATTGGCTAGACATGTATTCACTGGAGAAAAAGTGGCAGTTAAAGTTATTGACAAAAATAAACTGGATGAGATATCAAAGGCACATCTTTTCCAAGAGGTTAGATGCATGAAGCTTGTGCAACACCCAAATGTTGTTCGCCTCTATGATGTCATTGATACAGCCACAAAGCTATACCTCATCTTGGAACTTGGTGATGGAGGTGATCTCTATGAGTATATTATGCGTCATGATACAGGGCTTCCTGAGAACATTGCCAAAGAGTATTTCAGCCAAATTGTGAGAGCAATCTCATATTGCCACCAATTGCATGTTGTTCACAGGTATGATCTTCAAATATCAAAATATTCATACTTTCAATATCTTTGGATAACATTTCCTTCATGTCCCATTAAAAATATTCAATAAAATGACAACAAAATTGCAAATTTGCTTTTTTGACTTGTTAACTAAATAACCAGCTGCAACAAAGAAAGCATGATTTACTGTAACCTGTCTCTTTTCTACTCATTGTTTAATGGTGGATTGGTGTTCAGTTTTCTTTCATCTAATAATTAAAGTACTTCAGATTTTTTTCTCTCATCTAAACAAGCAAGAAAGTGAAGACATAAGTTCATTGTCTTTGTTTATGTGAAACATCTATTCATTTGGCTTGTTTCATTTTATAAAAAGGACTGAATTTTTTGGTGTGAACACTGTGAACTGATTGTTGAGGAGGTTTTGATAAGCAATGGTGATTCATTGTGTCACCATTGGATGCAAGAACAAGCTAGAAAGAAGGAAATTGTCATTCCAGCGGTAAGTTGAATATTGTTCAGATTTTTGGAAAATATAGTTCTTGAAATGATCATCAGTTAGGTGTACAATGTTCCCAGTCTCAGAATATGTTCAAAAACTATATCTATATTATTTGTCAAAGTTAAATACTTTCTTGACTTTTCCATAAACATATTAAGTAATATTATTTGTTGCAGTTTTTCATTGAGACATTCTTGAATAATGGATTAAGGCAGTTTGTAGGGAGAGTTGGACTCCATCTAAAACCAGCAAGCTTTGTGGAGAGCATTTCCTGCCAACTGATTCTTTATTTAGACATACCATGTACTGCTAGGTTATTGAAACCAGATGCTGTACCCAGTATATTTCCATTTCCTAATTTGTTACCAAAAAATACTGATCCTTGAAGGAAAATAAGAAAACTCATAGGTACCTAGTTGATTAATAATGAAAAAAAAGGCATGTTTGCACCTATATAAAATAAAAAAAAACTAGCTAGTAATTTATTTTCAGGATGCATCTGTGGATGTTCATAACATTGGGTCCTAAGGAAGATGTTTCTCATATTATGGACTTCACCTATGACTTACAGCTCTCAAGTTTCAAAGAAACCCAAACTGTTCCATTGGAGAAGGATATTGTATTGAGAATTGTATTTTTTTAAATTTCTAATAGGGATATGTTTGTAGGCAGTGACCTAATGGTAAAATAGGAACCTATGGAAATTATGCTCAAAATGGACCTTAGGTAGTCAATATCATGCAAGAACATCTTTACAAATTTTTTTTCTATGGTTTTTCGTTTTTCTTTTTCTTCTGATAGTGCTAAGACCTCGGCTAAGACATTGTGCTTCGCTCACCCTGTACAATATATTGTGACATTTGAATGAAAATATGTAATTTCAATTTTGTATTTATTTGACTTCCTAATCCTGTAAGAATAAAAATGAAATTTCATTTTTGAGTCAATAAAAAAATCAATAATAATTTTTTAATGATAATTGCTTGCAACATTTTCCTTTTTTCCTGTATGAATATTTTTATTTAATCATGTTAACTCTTTAATAAAAGCAAAAAACGCGAGCGCTTCCCATTAGCGAACATAAGATAGAGAGAGATAGGTATCCGTAAACACTGCGGGTTGCCTGAACAATATTTTTGCCTCACTCGTCGTTCACAAAGGGTCCCTTCCAATTGTTTATATTCCGTTCATTGCATTCATGTTCTCTCAAACTCAGCCCGCTCAACTCAGGCTCCTCTTTCAACTCGGCGACCCGCACGGCCTTTTCAGCCTGCACGGTCCATTGACCTTTCCTGATCCTCTCGCGTGGCCTGCTCAGCTTGGTTCTAGGTTTATAGACAGAAACTTCCAACATATCTTGAACCAATAAAAGAACTCCCACCTTGAATTTTCATGCAATATCAATGATATTCTGTGTTTGAAGTTCGAATAAGCCTTTTTAAGATCGATTAAATTGACTGCTATTTTTCAGAAATCATTAAATTGATTGCTATTTTTCAGAAATCATTAAATTGATATTCCTTTCTGGTTAATAAATCGGAAAATATTGAAGTAATCTACGGCACGCGTAACTCGCATCGCCCGCGTAACTTCCACGTCCTGCGTGATCCCGCACGGCCCGAATAATCCGCAAGGTCCGCGCGTAACCGTTACCAGTAACGGCGAACCCGCACGGCCTACCACGCTGACTCTTATGAATCGGCCCGCACCACCGTTCCTATGAGTGGGCCCGGCCCGCCCCGTTAGTTGCATAATTCATGCCCGTGACGGCCCGGCCATGCAGAGTTCTAATTTCCATTATATCCATATATACCATACAGAGGTGTGCACAAAAAACGGCTAGAGCTGTAACTTCTGAATCATTCGAGATCGAAATTTGAAATTTGGTGGGTAGCAACTATACCATATTGTTCATTTATTGACGAAAAAAATATTATTCCATCACTTCCGGTCTAACCGGAAGTGACCCCAACTTTTGATTTTCATATGAAACCCCCTGTATATTTTTCCATATTGGATTCAGGGTATCATTTTACATACACCAGTAGTTTTTCCGGATCAAAATGTCAAGAGGAATTTTTTTAATTCGTTTTTATGTTTAAACATTGCCCATTAATTGGTAATAGTAATCAAGATCTATAGGTAGCCTTGTAAGTCAATTTCAATGTGACAGTAACATCCAATAATAAGTTTCAATACGGGTGGATATTTTCTATTTTATAAACATGAATAATAATGAGTTAACCGATATATAACAAGTTTATTTTGAGTGTTTGAAAAATTCGTACGATGCTGCTCGTGTTTATAGAAACAGATATCCGAATAGAAATCATCCTAGCTATCAGGAATTTGGCAGATTGGAACCTAATCTACGTCAATTTGGTAGTTTCAAAAAACCAAAGAAACAACAGCGAGAGTTTGATGCAGATTTGGAATTGAATGTTTTACTCAGTGTACAAGAAACGCCCAGAACATGGACAATTAAGATTGCAAATGATTTTGGTTCGTCACGAAGAACAGTTCTTTCTACTTTGAAAAAACATAAGTACACGCCATACGTTCCCCGCAAAATTCACGGCTTGGAACATGATAATGATAGAGAACGTAGGACACATTTCTGCAATATTTTTTTGAATAGGTTTAATCAAGATCCTGCATTTTATAGAAAAATATAATGTGGTCAGATGAATGCACATTCGGGCGAAATGGCATCGTCAATAGACGAAATCACAGATGTTGGTCACAAGAAAATCCCCATTGTAATGTAGAAACCAACTTCCAAACAAGATTCAGCTTGAATGTATGGTACGGAATTCTTGATGATATGTTGGTAGGCCCGTTTTTCATCGACGGTTCTTTAGAGCAGTATAAGTATTTTGAATTGCTTACTGGTTATATTGAAAATTTTCTGGACCAACTTCCCCTCGCCAATCGTTATGAAGTCATTTTCCAACAAGATGAAGCACCGCCACACAATACGCGCGTTTGAATGTGACTTATTCGAATACACACTTTGGAGAAAGGTGGATAGGAACAAATGGACCGATACGGTGGCCAGCTCGCAGTCCAGATTTGACAGTCATGGATTTCTTCCTTTGGGGTTACTTGGAGGATCAAGTTTATCTATTCCAGACAGAGAATATAGAAATCCTTAGGCATCGAATATTAGAGGCTTGCCGCAATATACCCCAAGCATTTTTACACAACGCAACTTTTAGTGTAGCTAGAAGGTGTCAGCAATGCATTGCACAAAATGGGGGTCAATTTGAGCATTTGTTGTAATTAATTTTTTATCGCCCCTCTTTCTATGCTACTGAAAATAATAAAGATTGATGTGGAGTTCATTTTGTTGTTCTTTCTGTTTCACACAAAATGATCCGGAAAAACTACTGGTGTATGTAAAATGATACCCTGAATCTAAAAATGGAAAAATATACAGGGGGTTCCATTTGAAAATCAAAAGTTGGGGTCATTTCCGGTTAGACCGGAAGTGATGGAATAATTTTTTTTTCGTCAATGAATGAACAATATGGTATAGTTGCTACCCACCAAATTTCAAATTTCGATCTCGAATGATTTAGAAGTTACAGCTCTAGCCGTTTTTTGTACACACCTCTGTATACATATTATATCCAAATGATGATGATAATTTTCACAATGAGAAAGTATAATATGTGATTTCGTGTTAGTTTTCCCTGCTGATGTATTTACCAAATTTCCCCGTTCAGTCACTTCACTTTCCATGTTCTAAGTTCATTTGCATTTGATGGAAAGCTGACAAATTCATATTTGCCATCTAACTGATTGATACAGCCTAACGCAGCACATTTTACCATCCTTCCTAAGCAGAATTAAATAATTTCGTATTAAATCAAGTATGAAATTGAAATTTTGTAAGATCTCTTTTAACGCCTATGAATGTGACGTGATAGCAATGTCATGTCAGCGACGCCTTTACACGAAACCAAAGTCACTAGATGATTAAAAGTAAAAGGAGCTATGATCTGTCCGTACCCTGTTAGATGAAGAATACGTCAGTTTGCATCAAGGGACCCAAAGTGAAGCCAGCCACTAGTTCCAGCCATGACTTCCCGAATTATTCAAGGCGAGCGCCATATCACCAATGGTCATTTATTACTAATTTCTACTGGTGGCTGGCCATGGAATTACTAAAACCTCCAAAATATATCCTTGGATGAAACAATTTTCCATTAATGCATTCCTCTAAGGATCCTTAATAATCTGTAGACTGAGTAGACTTACGTTTTTTTCTCTCAATGTGGAACTTCACAACCAATTCTTATATTGAAGAAGAAGAAGATATCATAAGAAGAGGCCAAATGACAGGAAAAGCCCTCATTCAATAGAGAGTTGAAGTGTTGCCACGAACGTTAACGTTAACGTAGAAATTGACAGCTACGCATGCGCATTTTCCAATTCTTCACGTTCGCGTTGGTAGTGGGCTTACGGGTGTACGTTATCACGTACTTTCACGTATACCTTAAATATCAACATACGTTAACTGAACCAAACTCGAAATATGCCGATGAGTCAAAATCATCAAATTCGGGATCCTTAAGGAGTTCTGCATCAGGGCAACCTTCCATTTTAACACGAATAAATGTTTTGATCTAAACAAACAACCAAAACTGACCAATACAAACCGATAACATAATTTGTTATAACGTTACGATGACAGTGACGACTTCAACTCAATTTGAAGACAATACGTAAACGTTATTTTTCGTACTTTAACCACCTTTAACGTTTACGTGGAGGTCTACGTACAGTGATTACTTCAACTCTCTAATATCTCAAGAAATACAGTCTATTAATATAAGAGATATGAGATCAGCTGATGGAAGAGAAAGTGAATAGGAGTGCATCTTCAATGAAATATATAGGGTGTAACATTTGAAATAACAAAGTTTTCACCATTTGAAAAAATCAACATAAGCATTCATTATCTATTAAGACTTCTTTAAAGCGATAGTCAAAGTATCATCAAAGCTCGTGCATAATTCTAGATGGACATTGTGGAAACTAAGATCAGCAGGCATCTAAATTCTAAATCTAAATCAACATAATATGTGTATCATAATTTTTCAAAATAATTCTAATATCTAACATACCATCCAGTGACTCTAATTCTGATTAACTTACCAAAGCCGCAAAAAATTGCAAAAATGAGGCATGGTTGTGTAGACAAGATAATGACAAATCAAAATATGAAAAAAAAAATACAGTGTGTTCCATTCAAAAAAATCGTAATTCATGTAGCCCCGCGTTTACAAAACATCCGGTATAGATCAAAATAATTTTGATTTGTAGACTACGATATTGTACTGTATCTAGTGATGTAAAATTCCCGAGAAAGTTCCCGGAGCACGAACGAGAATAAACGGCGAGATTTTATGTTTGGCGTGTATAAAAGTATTCAAAAACTCACTTTTCGCGGTTCTTTCTGATAATGCTCAAAATTATCAAATTGCTGAAACACTTCATAATATAATCCACTTTTAAAATAGGTGCCATGTTGAATTTCGACCGTCGACGTTTATCGATATCTTTATCTTGTATTATCTTGTATTTTTCCTTGCCCTTTGTAATGAAATGTTCACAAGATACAGGTACTTTCTAGAACAATATTGTTATTGTCTTCCAGTATCATTTGACTGGGGCTCGGGACATCTTACACATCTTATTAAATTATTTGCCATTCGTGTGGCATGTTGGCTGTATTCACAACGACGAAATTTGCATTTGGAAGCTGCTTAAATAATATCCACGTCTTCAAATATCGACTTTGTATTCTTCGACAACACCCTTACACCTCTTTAGTCTTAACTCTACTGGTCATCCTATTCCCTATCACCTCTCTTATCTAGTTTATATAACTCCTTAATCATGCATTCAATATATCTTAGTCATAAAACCAGTACCCGTCGATATTCTGAACATAGAGTAGAGTAGGTAGAGTAGATTTATTTGATCACGTTACAATTTGAGATGTTTGTAACAAGTCATGATTTAGGTAGAATTTTAGAATAGAATGAGCAGTAATACAATATTATACAGATCAAAAATTTCAAGGACACAGATTCGTTATAGTTTGAAAACAAGATTTTAAAAACTTTACTTTAAAATTTAACACAAAACACACAGAGACAAGTATTTATATAGACAGTATAATACAAAATGTTGTCACCCTAGCACTTCACTGGCAAATATATATTCTTCAATATTATAAAAACAATTTTTTGTTAGGAACTCTTTGATGAAAGTCTTAAATTGACCGATCGCCATGCACCAAACTGCATGGGGAAGGACATTATATAGATTATAATTGAGAGAGTTTTTCTTGCTGACATCAAGTCTAAACCTTTGAGGTCTGACCATTGATGCATTACGGGTGTATAGTGGTGGATATCTGACTGCAGACAGAGAGAATCTTTCTGACTATGAATTTGAATCAATGTGTTGAATATGTAGATTGCCGGGAGGTGCTGGTACTGAATCACACAACATACAGAGAAGTGCACAAAAAACCGCCAGGACTGTTACTTTTGAATTATTCGAGATATGGTTTTGAAAATTGGTGGGCAGCTACTATACCAAATTGCTCATTAATTGACGACACAATTTTTGTTCTATCACTTCCGGTTTTACTGGAAACGACCCCAACTTTTGATTTTTAAATGGGACACCCTGTATTGTATTCCATAATCGGTTAGGGATTGTCATAACCAATTCATCGATACCGGGTTCGATAGGGTTATTTCAAACGATCACGCAGATATTCGCATTCTAAGTTTCCATATGCTCAATGAATGTGACAGAGAAAGAAGTTTTGATATTGGGAAGTCACACCCATTGAACATATGGAAACTTCTAACGCAAAAGTTCTTTGTAATTGTTCGAAATAACCCTATCAAACCCGGTATCGTTGAATTCGTCATGATAATTGTGGAGACCTGTGGACGACTCTGTATGAAACAGAATGCTTGCATAACAACTGCTGATTCATTCCATTGTAGGATGAAGAATTCGATATAGTTTTAGTTAACCAGGTGATTTCGAGAGAATCGTTACTTATAGTGTATTCAGTTTATTGTTTATATGGTTATATTATTATAGTAATAAAAGTGTTATTCAGTGATCTGTGCTTTAGTGCTTTAAGCAATACTGTGGGTTACCACAATAATCCCTAACCGATTATGGAATACAATACAGGGTGTCCCATTTAAAAATCAAAAGTTGAAGTCGTTTCCGGTGAAACTGGAAGTGAAAGAAGAAAAATTGTATCATCAATTATTGAGCGATTTGGTATACTTGCTACTCACCAATTTTCAAAACCCTATCTAGGATAATTCAAAATAAGTTACAATCCTGGCCGTTTTTGTGCACTTCTCTGTATAAAATAATAATAATGATAATATAATACTATAGTAATCAATGTCACTGGAGCGTTTCTAACAGAAGTAATAATATGCTCAGCTTAATATAAAAAAATGTGTTGAACTGGCTCGTTGTTTAACATTTAGAAATAAATGATTTCTTGGATGTTTAAGAGTTCGGACACAGCTGAACTTCTGTCCTTTTCTATTTTCTATATTAGGTTTGAGTGGAAAAAAAATCTGACATATATTATGCTCTTTGCCTTTTTAATCTTCCTTGTACCGCCTGATTGTCAGATATGATTTTAGAGGTGAGATTTTCTGTCAAATCAATCATTGTCGTAGATGGAACATTGAAATAGGGTATTAACACCCACTTCAATTTATATAGTGATACACTTTTGACAAAATAGACACATATGGATATACTTATGGCTATTTCCTTATTGTATGTAAAACTGTCCCGAGTGATGAAGTTCAACACATGAAGATTGTTTTGATTTTCCACCTTTTGCTGCATTCACTATTTACATAAATATTTGAATTTGGTCTTGATTTCCTCAGTTTCGTTATCAAATTTTCAATTTCAGTATACGTAGTTGTGCAATCAATTCCTTTAACATGTTTCGCAGCCTGTTTAGTAAATCAATAGAACAATGGATTTTATAAATCTCTCGATAAATCTTCTGTTTGACAATGGGTCTAAAATACAGTATTATTCCAATCTGCTGTTATAAGAAGTGAATTTTAATGTATGTACTCACCTCACAAATTTTGCTTGTCTTCAAATTAATTTTCTATCCAGGCCTTTTTATACATTCCCGAGATTCATTACATAGCAGGACATTTTCATGTATGCTTGTTTCTCAATAGTTTATGAGATCTTATTTCAATTCTGACGTTCATAAAATGTATTGTCAAATTCAAACAATTTTGAATGAAAAAGTGTGGAACCACTTTTGCTGTTGTCACAATGCAATGTGTGTAACTTGATGAATCTAAACATTCAAAAACACTAACAGTTGTCTTTCCTGTGTCCGAACTCTTGCTCGATTGAGGACCATAAAGGTTATGATACAAAAGTCTCATATAGTTTACATGCAATGCGCGAAATATTTAATTCTCGCACGGTGTCGTGGTAACGTAGGAAACTGAAAAAAGTTTGTTCTTCGCATATTATTATCAATGCCCGACTCTTGTCATTTTTTGACGTTTGTAGAAAAACTACTCATGAATCAGAATCAAGTACACCTAATTTTCTCCGGAAAAAAATTACTACCCTTCACCCAACGAGAAGAATGTGTTAACTAAATCAAATCCAAAACCAAACAAACGAACATGTAAACCCATGCGATACACGCGCGCTGATTGACCAGGATCAAAGCAAGCGGATGAAGCTGATTGGCTGGGATAGTGCTGAAAATTCTCGTTCGTGCTGAAAATTCTCGTTAGTGCTGAAAATTCTTGTTCGTGCTGAAGAATGACCTATCATGCGCGCACGAACAATTTATCGTGCGCGAACTTTCGCGAACATTCCCCACAGCATAAAGAGACCCTTTTCTCCTGTATCCGCAAAAAAATGTCCATGTCTTATAACTCTTGAGCAATAGAGCTTTTCCACACTACGTGGACACCCGGTATAAATAGATGGTGGCTAATTTCTTGTTTACTCTTTCCTTTTATTTTTGCTTTATGATTTTTCTAGAGATCTGAAGCCCGAAAATGTGGTGTTTTTCAAGAAACAAGGGGTGGTGAAGCTGACTGACTTTGGTTTTAGCAATAAGTTTTATCCTGGGCAAAAATTAGAAACTTCGTGTGGTAGTTTAGCATATTCTGCCCCAGAAATACTTCTAGGTGATTCCTATGATGCTCCTGCTGTTGGTATGTTGTTAATTACTTATTTTCATTTTCCAGTTTTGTTGTGGGATTAGCTTGTGAAATTCATCATCTAGTTTGCAGCTAAAATAGATTATACTCCTGATTATGGAACATTATACATGTACAAATATTTAAGGACCTATCAACCATTAATAATATTATGCATAAACATATACACATTCAGAAGTGCTATTTTTCATGTCATTTACTCAATTACCCTGAAAGATGTAATATCCATAATGAGTACAGCATTTTGAATATATGTATATCATATCAGGGTGTCCGAAATTAGTCTGTCAAACGTTACCAGGGGCTTCTACGACCAGAAATAGGAAATAAAGTTCCAATGAATATGAGTCGATAAATGTTTCCTGAAGGAGCTATGGCCCCCTGAAAAGGGGACACCTGAATATGATATTTCGGGAATATCTCCGAATCGCTATAGGATGAAATGATGCAATTCGAGACAAAACCTAAACTTTCCATGTCTTTCCATTGCAGTGAAAATAAAATCATTCTAAAATTTTTCTCAGGAGAGTATAATACATGTTGGGAATACATTAAATATTGCTCAAACTTATTTGTATATGTATTTTTCGACAATTTAATCTCGGATTATGAAAATTCGTACCTCTTTAGCGAAAAAAGATGCTCATGTTCCATATCGATCAGATGTATCATTTTCCCAGTTGTCAATTTTAAATCATAGTGGCTATAAAAAAAATTCAACTACTTCTTTTTCACGAATCAATAATATAGAGGCGCGTAAAATAGGAAAACAATGATGCATTTTTTCCATATCCATAACAATATTTTTGAATCCATTTTACTTGGAAATGATACATCTGATGGATACGGAACAAGAGCACCTTTTTGAATTTTTGAATTATTTTCGTTTCACTACATTGGGCATGGAAAGTTTAGTTTTTGTTCCAGATTGGTGATACTCAAGAAATATCATCTTCAGGGGGCCTCAGCTTCCTCAGGAGACATTCATTGACTCATGTTCATTGAAACTTTCTTACCATTTTTCGTCGTAGGTAGAAGCCGCTGGTGAAGTTTGTCTGGCTAATTTCGGGACACCCTGTATATGTCTATGTCATAACACTTATTGTACTCAGTAGTTATTCAATTTCCAACATTAGTTGAATGTGGTATTTGAAGGTGTTGATTTTCATTTTCCTTTTTAGTTAGGTTATGACTATTAAGAAAAATCGGACATGATCTAGTTTGATAATATCAGTCACTTTCAGAATTTCAAGGTCTTGGAAAAATAGATAAAGAAGTACTGATACTTACATAGTCATTCATAAACCTTATTTAGCTTTGTTGAAAAAAGTGATTTACATTGACTCTGGCGACTACTTGACGAAAATTCATAACCGAAAACCCACAAAAAAATTTCACAAAATTCTTGATATTATCATTGGTAAAATATTTTCAGTTCGACATATTCCTCAATTTGTGTTTATTATCTTTTCCAGATGTATGGTCTTTAGGTGTAATCCTCTATATGTTAGTTTGTGGCCAAGCTCCATTCCAAGAAGCTAATGATTCTGAAACTCTCACTATGATAATGGACTGTAAATATGAAATACCTACGCATGTATCTAAAAACTGTCAAAAGTAAGTATTTAAAAAGGGCATTAAACATCTACCAATATCAATCAAATTTAATAAGTGTTATTATTGAATTGAAAAAGTATTTTATTTGCTTGTTTTTTTTTTCTAGATTAATCTCTAGGATGTTATTGAGAAGTCCAGAAAAAAGGGCTACATTAGCAGAAATATCAAACCATCCTTGGTTGAGCAGCAATAAACATAATAATGCAGATGCCATACCCCTTGTATCCAAAGAACAACTTTCAGAAGAGGATCATAATTTAATTATACAGAAGATTGCCAATGGAAAGATAGCTACAAAGGAGGAAATCCAAGAGTGAGTACTCTATTCAGCACTCTTATTTCATTTTGTGTGCATAACAATATTGATTTTTGTCCTTTTTCCAATTTCCTTGATAACTCTTGAACCAGCTCTTTACCATTATAAAATTGATGCTACAAATTCATTGTGCAACAAAAAATGATGACATTTTTTTCTGAAATCAAACTCAAGTTTATTTCAAGGACCACTTGGACGATTTGGACAAAATTATCATCATCAAGCTAAAATCACAAACATTTTTAATGATATTGTAAACATTCAATAAACACACTACACTTTTTTACCACTAACCAAACCGATTTTTTAGACGCCTCTACACGTGTTTTGTTAACTATTTCAGCATCTTCAGGAGAAGATTGAAACTTAATTTAGTTGTGATGTCCTATCCTTATCATGATTTTTTTGTTTCAAATATTTCCCTTCACAACTGTACTATTTTTGAAAAATTGTTCATCTGGATTCACATTCTTCCAATTTCAATTGATTGTGCTGGAGTTATTGAATAGTAGATCCATGAAAGCACTCGTTAGTCATCATATGGCGATTTTCGGTCTGAATTATACATTTTCTTTTGAATATTTCCCATCACAACTGTACTATTTTTCGAAAATATATAATTTGTTATCCTAATCTGTTGACTATTGCAAAAAGAATACGATTGAGAATTATATGAAAAAATTTACATGCATTTTAGGTATAGAGTGCATATTTGTCCCTTTTAAAAACCTTCAAATTTGCTCACAGTCAAATTATCGATACACCATTCGAAAGTTATCAAAAAGTCAAAAATTTTAGCGTTTGAATCACGTCCATAGCTTCTTGGGTGGAAAATTGTGAAACGGTTGTGCTATCTTGAGGTTAAGCTGGCCCAACGACATTTTTTCGCTAACCGCTTGAGTTAAAAAATTCGGGTTGGTGTTAAAAAATAGTTCATTAATAGTTATTAAATACTCCTTTTGAATACTCCTTTTCAGTAATACTTTTTCTATGCACCTTCCCTTTTCTTGGAGGCAGAAACAACACTTATGATAAAAGACCATTTTCAATTGGTACAAAAAGATTCTGTTATTCCCTTGTGTATTGAATTGAGAATTTGCCAAATTTTTCAAATATTTCTTTGGAAAATAGCAAATAATATCATGGCATCATGTTTTCAGGTCCCTGGAAAAGAATGAGTACAATCACGTGACCGCGACATATTTTCTGCTGGCAGAAAGAAAGTTGCGCACTAAGAGACAGGAACATGTGGACAAAAATAAGCGTCCTGAAGAACTGGCAGTACTCCAAAATGACCAGTCAAAGAAGGAAAACAATATCAGCATTAAACCTAGTCTATTGAATGTTCCACGAACGCCTGGTGATTTACCACAGGTGAATAATAATTCAGTGAAACAACAAATTAGTTTGGGTTCAAATGAAATCTTCATCATTATTAGGAATATTAGGATATTCTTATTGATACTGAAGCATCTTGCAGGATATATTATGTATTCAATAAGTGATTATTGGGACCAGGTGGAATCATTCTCTTCGGTGAATATGAATACTGTCGTCATTGGTCATATTGAATCTCATGAGGCATGAGGTAATTATTCATTATAAATTTGGCAGCGTCGAAATATGTGGTTATGCTCGCATTGGTTGCTGAGAAATAAAGAGGAATATATCAACAAATATCACTATTGCCATGTGAGAAGGTGAATAGAATATAATAGACATTTATTCATCATTAAAAATTTCATACATGTGGTACATACAAATATAAAACTTAATCAGAATAGTCAGAACATAGATCAACTAAGCTTTATAGTTGTAGCATATAACATACATATTGAAATTGAGTAGACATATAAAAAGATGTAAGAACAATAATAAAATATGATATTCAAGTCGGTTGAGTTAGTTAAAATTGAAATTAAATAATAATGTATAGAACTAAATATATAATGAGAATAAATTAATTATACAATAACAATATCTAGAGTTGTAAAACATCTTCAATAGAATAAAATGCACTATTTATCAGGTTATCAAGTAAAATACTTCTGAATTTATTGAAAACGTTCCAAATAGCTGACGTGCTTTGTTGTAGCAGATGATACCGTGATAACTTGAGGACCCCTGGCCAAGAACTAGTCCAGAGTAGGGTAATAGGCGAGTAGACTATTTTTTTATTTATTGAATGGAATCATCACTCAAATACCATTCATTTTCGTATTTTTTAAGATTTCGTGAGTGGGGACAGGCCATAGCACAGTTGCGATGTGTTCAGATACGATTGGGAACTTCAGAAATATTAGTTATTCAATAATTCATAAATTATCAATTGGGTATTGGCAATATTCCTAATTAGCAATAAGAATTCAATGGGCGTGTACACCTCAGTAGAACTTTTAACTCAAACCATGTTTATAACGATTCTTTTATACATAAATAATGATTGACGACATAATTCGATCGAAAAATTACTTTGATACTCCAGATTATTGAGTGAACTGATTATTTCAAATTCTTTTATTCAAAGTATTCAATGTATTCAATCTTGATTTTTTATCTCTTCGAGCACACGAAAGGAAATTTCTATACTGGTCTTGAAACATCGTGCGTACCTAGGCAGGATAGGGAGAGGAGGTAAGTGTTGGAATTTTGTCGAACTTTTGGAGGTTATGAGTTCATGGGAATACTTCCATTGGCAATGAGTTTCAAAGCTTCGCCGTTCTATTGACGAACGAGTTTTGGTAGAGTGTTGTTCGACATATTTCAAGGTTGACGACGAAGGGATGTGCTGACTGGGCCTGTCGAGTTCGTCTGACTGGTATTGCTAGTGATGGAATCATAGCAGGGATTTATGAGGAATATTTCCTGTAGAAGTATCTATAGAAAAGTGATTGGTCGCCGACTTTTCTACGGTGTTCTAATGGGGTCAAAGTGTAAGTGAGTGTGGCATCACCTACCAGGCGAATGGCTCTTCTGGATGAAATCTAAGAGCATCAGCCTTTGTTTGGGTGCTGAAACCCATTCATTGAAACAGTATTCTAAAACTGGCCGTATCTGTGCTTTGTATTTGTGCTGTTGAGGTGTAAAGTAGATTTAGAACAATGATGATGCCAAAATTGATCCTTGTGAACACCGGAATTGATGGCAATAGTATCAGATCACCACCATATGGAGGGATCTGCCTGAATGAAAACTCAATAAAGGATGGCATAGCTGAGGTGGTAATCTGTATGATGTTAGTTTGTGGAGCAGTCCTTGATGCCAAACACGGTCGAATGTCTTCGATATATCTAAGGTCACAGCTAGAGATTCCCCATGTTTGTCTGATTGAGCTTGCCATATCTGTGACGTAGGCAACTAAATCTCCAGTTGATCTTCGATGTTCTTGAGTTTGATAGGTGTAAATGATTTCACGCGATAAAACAAAAAAGTAAATCTCCTATTGATCTTCGGTGGCGAAATCCATATTGTCTATCATTAATGATTCCTGAGCTTTACAGAAATTTGATGAGCTCAATGTTGATGGCTTGCCCCATCCCTTTGGATATGACTGATAACAGGGCAATTGGCATATATTTGTTGGGCAGGCTCTTGTTTCCTTTTTTGGAAAAATACTCGACTTGTAGGAGATGATAAATAACTTGCAGAGAATCGGTGTCAATTCTGGAGAATAATGGGTAGAATTCTATCAGGACCATTGGACTTATTCGTTTTGAGACCGAGCATGCTTTCAATCCCAATAATTCCAGACTGTTTTGAATGGTTTTGGCCTTAATTTTTAATAATTTTGAACAGCACACGAAAACATTACTTCCAATGAAGACAGATGCATTTGAACAGAACACTGTGTCTCTCAGAGCAAAGAAAAAACTCACGGAACAGTATTGAAATAATAAAGTTTTTTGATATTATGAAGATTCGATCCGCCTAAAAACATGCCTCAAAACCATTGAGACTCCAAATAAAGTTATTCAGGTATTATTTATCAAGAATTTGGATATTATTTCCGAAAACCTAAGATATTTTTTACAAAGTCGTACCAGTATGAAAATCTGTATACCTATCCATTGTTTCCATGCGTGTGCAGAGATCTCGAAAATGCAGCATCGTCCAAGAGGACGAAGAAGAAGAAGAGGACATATCCTCGTGCTCCGGCCGCGAAGACCTCGGCCCCCCGTTGAATCGTCGCGGATCCCGCTCCGAAGGCCGCCTCAATCTCACCGTGCAAGAACGAATCGCCGAATCGGACAAGCGGCGCCCCATCGAGCGGAAACACGTCTCCAGCGCCAAAAAATCCAGCCGAAGACACGATCTGCCGCCGATACCCATCATCACGACCACCGCCGAGGGCAACGTCGAGGCGGGGAAGGCCACCGAAGGGCCGTCAGGCAGGAGCATCGTGAGCGAGCACCGGAAAGCGCGGTTCCACAAGAGCCGCACGGCCTCTTGCAGTTCTTCGGACGCGAGCGACGATGACAGCGAGAAACGCAAGAAGAGGGCGCAGAAACTGTCGACGCCCTCCAAGTCCTTCGAGGTGAGAATACACGCGTACTCGCGTGTGCAGATTTTTTTATTCATTTTATTTACTAGCCGGCCTCGCAAACGTTGTTTTGCTATATACATTATTTCTACAGGGCTTTCATTTCAAAACTTACCACCCTGCATATCTCCTGATCTGCAAAGATTACAATTTTCGGAAAAAATCAGGTCGATTTAAATATCGAGGGGGAAGTGAAATAACAGTATCTATTGAATGCTATGTTCATCCCCGTCACCCCCAGATACCCCTACTTTGAAATCTCAAATGGCCCCCCTACTTTGAGATACATACAATTGAAGGTCTATCAAGGATCGAATCAACCAGGTGAAAAAATATTTATTTCCTATACAGGGTGAGTCATGAGGTGCTGTACATACTCCTACCACGAACAGAGGCCCCTGAGGAAAATATCGAATGTTCTGGAGTTTTTCTTCCTCTTTTACAATAATAAACAGGGTGATTTATGGGATTGAGCGACAAAATTTTTCACAAGAACAGTCCTGGATTTCAATTCTGTATACGTTAGTCTATTGTTGTTGGAGTGCATAATGTTCCATGAAAAAATGAAATGAATCAAAGAAACTGTTGGAAAGTTGTGATAAAAATATTTTTTCGCTTAATCCTATAAATCACCCTGTTTATTATTGTAGAAGAGGAGGAAAAACTCCAGATGAACATTCGATATTTCCCTCAAGGGCCTCTGTTTGTGATAGGAGTATGTACAGCACCTCATAACTCACCCTGTATACGAAATACATATTTTTTCACCTGGTTGATTCGATCCTTGATAGAACTTCAATTTCATTTATCTCAAAGTAGGGGGTGCCATTTGAGATTTCATAGTAGGAGTGTCTGGGGGTGAAGGGGAAGAACATAGAATTCAATTGATACTGGCATTTTACTTCCCCCTCGATATCTAAATCGACCTGTATTTTCCGAAAACTGTACGCAGATCAAAAGATATGCAGGGTGGTGAGTTTTGAAATGAAAGCTTTGTATAATATATTTTTTCTGTTCAATATTCATCAAGACACTATTATTATTTTATTTTCTACTTTTTTTTAGTTTCCCTACCAATAAAAGCTGGCTTCTTCAGTTTTTCAAACTACCATTTATTTCAGCATCACGAATTATTACTGAAAACTGAAAAGTGTCAAGACAAATACGAATTTGCCATTCAAATATCTATGTTTTATGTTGAAAACGGGAGCAGCTTCGTTCCCGAAACGTCCAAAGCTAAGTGAAAATTTGGTGTTTTTTCTATATACCTTTATTTCTCTTCTCCCAACCTCTTTCAATACACATTGTCACTGAAAAGCTAGTGAATTTTTCTCGTAGACTCTCTCATAGAAACATTCTTTAAACGCAGTGGCATTTTGGGGCGAATCATTTGAAATTTTTATTTTATAGGAACGAGGAGAGAAAATCCCAAAAAAACTGGAATAATGAATACCTTTCCAATATCAAATAATTCATTCATTGTTCGCTATTTTCGACAAATATGTGGTCAGGATAACGTTTTTGACTTCCCTTATATTATAGCGAACAGTTTTACGATAATGGAAAAGCCCATTACATGAGATGGGTGCTTCTATTTTTTATTTGTTAAAGTATCCCTAAGTGGAGTGGAGTCATATGTAAATAATGAGACTATGCGTCGTTCGAAATTGTTGAATTTCAGAGCTCATTTCAAAAGTGTCGTCATGGCCGCCATTCGGCGATACGTCGAATCAATGGTGACGTAAGTTTTTATGCTGTTTCGTTATTGGTCTGATGATCTGTCATTCCCACTCATGAAGCAAGGTTGCCAAGTCACCAATTATGATCGTTGAATAAATCATAATAGGAGGAACACATGATGTCCAAATATTTCTTATACTCCATAACAAAATATCATGTTGGAGACTTGGCAACATTGTACTGAATGCTGAAAACTGACAAGACCACGCCCACAAGTCGTGCGCCGTGTTATCGCGTTTACCCGAGCGTTTACCGGTTCAAATGTCCTCTAGTGTGAATTTATATGATTATTATTTACACAAATGTATTATAAGCTATAAGTCGCAACACATGAAGAGACAATTTTGTAATGCTGATTAGGAATATTACCAATACATAATTGAAAATTTATATATTATTCAATGACTAATATCTCTGGAGTTCCCTATCTTGTATTTCAACATATGGCAAATGTGCTATTGTCTGCCCCTACTTACGAAATCGTGACGTTAGTTTTTACTGGCGGTAAATTTCTAGCCGTTTGAAAATTACCGTGGCATCATTTGGCACCTTGAAATCGACCGAAAAATTCAAAAAAATATGAAATTGAAAGGTATTTGAGTCATGATTCTATTTAAGAAATTTAAAAAAATCAGTCCACTCGCCATTCATGACCAGATATGCTTCTTGGGGTAATAAAGACAATCAATCAAATACTGGTTTTCAACGTCTCCAGGTGGCGATGTTACTAAATATACTGTATGCTAGCACAAACCACGCCCACCGTGATATCTCATCTTCAAAGTACTTAGACAAAACTCAGAGACTATTTATCCTTAACGAACTAACCTATTCCTGATTGCAATATTATTGAGGAAGGAAAACCAGAATGGAGTGTAAAAACACATTGATCAATAATATATTTGAAAAGTTAAGTTCTTCAACAAAATTGAATAAAATGAAACTGTTTATCCTAAACGCACTAACCTATTTTCTGAATAAGGAAAACCAGAATGAAGTAAAAAAACATTGGTGAAAAAAAAAGTTGCAAGTTCAAGTTCAAGAAAGTCGACAGCGCTAACCAATAGTCCGTTTGGGTATATAAATTTACTGCATACAAGAGATTGACACCGAGAGAGCTTCAGTCGAATTCGTATCAAAATCATAAAAGGTGAATTCTCGCGTTGGAGTACAGTATATTTAGTGCGATGTGCTGACTTCGAGTATATCGGTGATGTTTGGAGATATGACGTATTACGGTGGGCGTGGTTTGTGCTAGCGTGAAGTATATTTAATGAAATCGCTTCCAGGTGAGAAGAGACAGCCACGACGACAGCAGCGATTCGCAGGAGACCGGCGCCGGCGTCGGTGGTAGCGGGTTCGCCGCCGGCCGGACCGGCGCTGACGTCACTCTGACCGCCAACAGCGCGAGTGACAATCAAAAGGGCCAGGAGAAGAACGGGACGTACAAGGAGAGGAGCCACAAGATGGGCGGGAAGAAGCTGGGGACAGCCCGGTTGAGGGAGAGCCAGTCGCTGAACAGGATCACCGAGGTGCAAGAGGACGCGCAGGTATGGTTGGGATGACTGGAATTTCCAAATGGAAATTTCCGATTCGAAAGTTTACAATTTGAAAGATTTGAAATAGAAATACATTGATTATCCCAGGGAGCCGCAACATCTCATTCATAACTCTGTTTGTTCTGCCCCAATGATTACATGAGGATGCCCATAAGTATGACGGAGAATACCGATCGAACCTCTTTATCACACCAATATTTTGCCACCTTATTGGCAACACTGCAATATTGTTGGTCTCAACCATATATCTACTACTCATATATGAAGTATAGCTGTCCTCAAAGCAGGACCAACTTCTGTCTCTATAGGTAATGAAATCGACCATTAGGCGTTGATGCCGACGTAGGGAAAAAATAATACGAAACTTGTCAAACCAATATGATTGCGAATATGGCTGTTTCCTTCCTTCACTTTCCGTCCCTATGGATTCAAAAAGTACCTCTCATTTTGGTCCCATTTTTGTTGAGATATCGAATAGGCGATGAGCCATATACAGAAATAGTACATATATGGTCGCAACGAATACCAGTGGCGTGCTGCACTGTAGGTTCAAAATATGAATATTATTTGTCAATGAGAGTAATATAGTATAGTGCCCCCTAATAATGCGACTTGAACCGTCACTGGCGCATTTTTGTAGTTTGAGACGAGTAAAAATGGACAAATAGATAGGTATGATGAATGATAATGCATGATATTCTGAATTTTAGACGACTTTCATATTAGCTATTCAGCAATTCGATCAATATTCGGCGTGGTAAAACGTAGTCATTTTCTGTTCAACTCACCACGACAATAACATAAACGTGTGAAGAAGTTCATACTGCTCAAAGTGGAGTGGTAGTATTTGAAGAAAAAATAAATCTCAAAATCATCTCCACTACATTTAATAGGTGAAAATTGTTATGTTACATAAAGGGACATACATCAAGCAGTATTTCATGATCAACAGTGTCGAATGCCTTTGCCAAGTCTAGGAACACTGCAATACATTTTTTGTTTTCATCAAGTCTTTCAATAATACTTTTGATAACATTGTACATTGCGTCACTGGTAGCCATACCAGCACGAAACCCATATTGGTAATCGTGTATAGTTCCATTTTCATTAAAAAAGTTTACTATGTGAGCCTTCAGACATTTTTCAAAAATCTTACCGAAGCTGTTTATTACGCTGATAGGTCTGTAATTACTGATTTTAGTTTTGTCGCCAGCTTCATGTATTGGTGTAATTAGAGAAGACTTAAACTGAGTGGGAACATGTCCTTTTTGGGTTATCAAATTATATAAATGTTCGAGTGGTCGCAAAATATATTGGTAACTATGTTTAATTGTTTCACTAGTATTGCTCCAAATATATTGTTCTAGATATTGAGTGGTGAACTGGACTTGGAGTTTATTCAACAAGAAATATCATAATTTGTTCATGAAGTTTGATTTTGATCTTTTGAACTTCCACTTATCCACGGGTTGCAAGTGAGGTTCAATGAACATTTCCTCAAATCATTTATATATTTCATTATTTCTTGGAAATTCCTGAAAATTTCAGTAAAATTCATATTTTTCGGTATATTCATGAACATTTCAAGTGGAATTTCATTCCATAACTAAAAATAAAATTTTCCCCACTCTTTGCACAGGGCGTGGTCGTGTCGGCCACCATGTTGAGCATTCCGGCGTCCTTGGCGCCGAAAGTGAAGAGCGTGGGCGCCAAGATCCTCCACGGCCTCAACAAGTCCATGAGGAGGTCCGACGACAAAGAAGAGGGAGAGGACAAGTGTAGGGCGTCCAGAAGGGATTCTCTGCACGGGGACAAGGTGGAGAGCTGCATCAAGGTGGAGAAATGCGGGGTGAGGAAGATCAGGATGTTCGGGAAGTACTTCCACGTGCACAAGAAGCTTTGCGTGCCATTGGCGGGGTTTTTCCGCAAGAACGGTTTGTACAAAGCTCAGTCGTGTAGCTCTTTGACAAAGGACCGGGTTTTCCTGAATTCGAACAGGAGTAGAGCGGTGAGTGTGGTGCAGAATCGAGGAGACATTAATCAAAATAAGGAATCTTCCAAAACTGTCTTAGATGTAAATGCGGTTTGCGGCGAATTGACGGAGCTGTGTGCCGTACACGTACAAATCGGGCATGCATGCAAATGTAGTTTTTGTTGAAAACACTTTTCTCTCACGTTACCAAAGCGAAGTAGTACTATTGTTTATTGTTGACATTTTTCAGATTTTCTTTTATGTCTCTACACTGTCTCTATTTTTTATGTTTACCAAGGTGTTCAAATACATATATTTTTAACTGATTATTATAGAAAACTTATGTTTTAAAAAAATGTATATGAAGTTGATGTGAATGTTGTTGTTAACCCAAAAGACATGAAACTAACTTATTATATAGACCATAGCGTATTTATAAATAAATTATTACAAATCCACATGCTTTTTCAATTCAGATCATTCAAATATAGGTTGAAGACACGCTAGAATTAGATAGACACCGTGCATTATGAATAAACTCTGTGTTCATGACATTCCTTGAAAATACATGCAAGTAAAGTCCTGGGACACAAGGGAGAGGATAAAAGTGTCAGAGTAACAACAAATCGGTTCTGCAGATGACGTGGATTTCATCCAGTCATGAACGATATGGCTAACTTCACTTTTGAACTGGTACCATAATTTTCATCGAGCTCTTGAGATTTCATTTTTAAATTGACAGCGAGTTGTTGAGCGCAACATCTATATTGTGCTCTGGGTACACATTCTTTCCTGAGGTAATTTTTAAGAAGCCATCATACTACTATATAGATGTGAATATGTTATTACGGCCAAAAGGAATTCTTTAGACGGGGACAAGGTGGAGATAGCTACATCAAGGTAAAGAAATGCTAGGTGAGGAAGATTAGAGTGTTCGGGAAGTATTCCACGTGCACAAGAAGCTTTGCGTATATACCGTTGTCCGTTGGCGGGGTTTTTCCGCAAGAACGGTTTGTACAAAGCTCAGTCGTGTAGCTCGTTGACGCAGGACCGGGTTTTCCTGAATTCCAACAGGAATGGGGGGGTTAGTGTGGTGTAGAATCGAGAAGAAATTAATCAAAATAAGGAATCTTCCAAAACTGTCTTAGATGTAAATGCGGTTTGCGGCGAATTGACGGAGCTATATGCCGTACAGTTGTGTGCATAAAGAAGTCGTACAAGGTTTGTGTAGTGTAAATCTACCTATAATGTTCCAGGTTTCATTAAAAAGCCGTAAACGTACACATTTGCGCGTTACTGACAAAAATAGTTCGAATTTTGAGACTACTTGCCTAAGTCGATATAAGAAGATTAATCAAGATTGACAAGTCTGACTCACAATGACTGCTGTACGACTTGTTTATGCACACAACCCAGATAACACCGATCTCCTTGAGAACTGACGGCCGACTATCGAAATGTAATGCCTTCCCGGCGTCGATAGGTGTCCAGGCGGCCGCCAGCCGGCCGTAATACACATTACCGGCGATTAATTTATTGACTTTTAGAAGTGCTACAGCGACAACAAATTTCAATGCACCATTGATGTGAGCGCTCAGCCACCATCCTATATGCGCTTGCAAATCCTTATCAAGGAGGATGAGTTTTTCGAGCACTTCACAAGTATCTGACCGCGAACTATAAACTGCGCATTTAAAGGACGAAATGTGCGGGGTCCTTTTTGTATTTTGCAAAAAATAGTGGTCTTCGTCGGTGCTATAGTAGATAACTCATATTCTAAATTACCGGATCTGGTAAAGAGTTAGAAAACCATGAAAAATAAATAATAAGCAGAAGAACTCATATTCTACGCATTTCTAAAAGAAACAAACTAGATACTGCCTGTGCCTGATGTGGAGGAGTCCTGACTTTGTGAGTTATCGCTTTAGTCAGCGTGTAACGCCACAATTCTTGATTTGTCTCAGTACCTACTTGAGTATATTATAGACCTGTTCGTTTGTGTTGCTGAACTTGCTAAAATTGATTTTTCCCCACAGTCTGTTCATGGCATGATGTGAACAGAGAAAGTCATAGAAAAAAATCAAGTTCAGTTATTCGTTACCGGAGGAACAAAAGTTCTTGTCATATTTACCACCAAATAGCACTGAACTATACACCCTACTAGAGGATGGGAGCAGAGCCGGATTTAGAGATCTGTAGGCCCTGGGCCAACAAAAGAGTGGAGGCCCCGTGGCTCCTAATTGTTTTCCATATAAAATTGACAAATTTCTCGATCAATATTTTTTTGTGAAACAACCTACATTATTTTAACACATACAGGATGTTTGTTGAGTACGTGTAAAAAAATCCAGGAGCATGTTGCTGACGTTTAAATGAAAAGAGATGTTCGTATATACACATATGTCTGCAAGTTATTCATTCTGAGATACAAAGAGTCAAGTTTTGATTGTTATCTCGGTTTTTTGTGAATGAATTCCATTCTAATATCACGTTCATTTTTGAATTCACTCACAAAAAAACAGGAAAAAGAAGATTTTTTTTCTATTGTGGAGGCCCCTTTTCTGTGGGGGCCCCGGGGCTGTAGCCGCGGATACCCTTCCCTAAATCCGGCTCTGGATGGGAGTACTGTTAAATGCAGTCTCTGTAGATAAGAGTACCCTAGAGCGACCTCTGCTCCAACTGAACCATCAAAATCTCCAGAACCGTACTGTAGTTATTACCTTCATCCAATTGTCTTCTATAACTATAGACTTCTACAAAAGTGTAGAAAGGCCACTGCTGTGTGTATTGTGTTCTATTTCTGAATTCAGACGTTTTTTCTTCGAATTCAATCTTTTATCTCTGAATTCAGACTGTTTTTTTCTGAATGCAGACTTTTTTCTCTGTCACTTGTCATATGTGTATGTGTAAACAGGGTGTTCCAGGAGTGAACACCAAAAAATCACGATCGCGTATACCTTGCAGATGAAATGAAGGTCCCTACAGGCATATTTCTGCAGGATGACGCTACATTTCCGTGATATACAGGGTGCAACTTCTGAAATACATTTCATGACTGTTGAACGCTGTTAATTGATGAGCACATTTAATCTTGGTATATTACCTTAACTGACTTCATTCTTAAACAGACTATACTGCAATCGACATGCATATCACACCTTCATCAATCTAAGCTACTATTTTCAACGACTCTTATTGTTATTAAACAAAATGTGTTCCTCAAGTTTCACCCTGTATAGGAAACAGAGAGCGTGTTACTTCATTCTACATGCATGATATGGTGTTGAAATGCTGTTCTCACATGAAAGATGGGGGTCAGCACCTAAAAATTCGCTGATGCGTCTGAATTCAGAGAAATAATCTGAATTGAGACAAAAAATATGAATTCAGACTGAGAAGTTATGACATAAAATACACACAACAGTGGCCCTCCTACGCTTTCGTAAACTTCTCTCTTGTTGATTAAATTTTCCACCTCAGCAGGCGATAGATAGTAGACCTGTTTTAGGTGATTCAGCCTTTAGCTGCATGCATGATGAGCTGTCAGTTTGTGACAAATGCGGCGATTATCCGCTAGGTCTATTTCTTTTTGAGGAATTGGACCCAACTTATTTATATCACAAAATGTACCGTTTGTCCGTGAGACGAGTTCAAAGTTTAGAAAAAAAAACACATTTTTCTGTATCGGCTCAAAAGTCCATTTTTGTTCCAAAATTTGCTCTTGAAGTTGACGTACCTCTTACTGGTACAATAAAATGATTAGTATGCATATGTTGCTATATATTTCATTATTTAGATATCAATTATTTCGATTGCAGAAAAAATGTTCAATCCGTATCAAAAGTGGCTCTGTTTGACTCGCAAAATTTGCGTGCTCGGCTTCGCGGTCGCTCCGCCTCGCAAACGCAAATATCGCCTGTCAAACAAAGTGTCATATTTGATCCTAATAAAACAATGTACTATTTTGTTCACCGTTCAAAAATGAGTGAAACCACCCTCATCCCCTGACATTTTATTTCAGAACATTCTCAGGGGTGGTAATACGGGTCTCAAATTTTCTGAGCGAGATGACTGATTAATTATCTTCATTTAGTCACATTTGTGAACATTTCGTATTCCGCATATTTCCGAAGAAAAAACACGTTTTCTCAAATAATGCTAAAAGATATTCCTATAGTAAAAGTTTGATATTATCATTATAATGAAAAGTTTTGTTGACAGTGGCAGAACATTTTTTTTAATAAATAAATAATATGTCGCCCACCTTTCATCAATACAAATGTCAATTCGTTTGTTTCCACTGTTTCCTTCGGAACTATGTGGAATATGAAATTTTCACAAGAGTAACAAAATGAAGAAAATTACTCAGTTATCTTGCTCAAAAAGTTTGAGAACCCTATTACCACCCCTAAGAATGTTCTGAGAAAAATGTTTGGGGGTGGGGGTGGTTTCAACCCTTCTACAATTCCTTTCACGTTTCTTCGATAACTGAAAGAATGGTTATCCTCTGAAATGCACTTCTGTCAAATTTCATCCAATTTGTTTCACTCATTTTTTAACAGTGCACGAAAATGTTTTTTATGTAAACCTTGAACTCGTCTCATGGACAAACGATACATTTTTTAATATGAATAAGTTGGATCCAATCAACTTATTTTGAACTCTATTACATGTGGAAGCTCTTTGTCCCAGCAATTTTGGGACATCCTGTATATAGCTACACCGTGCATAAATAATGTAAATAGATGAGAAAAATAATAATCAATTGAAAATCTGAATAGGCTATAAAATTTCACAGGCCAATTAATGATCGACAGACAGATAATCTATTTTGGTTAATTATTGACCACTATTCAATATAGTACATTATAAAATACCAAGGCACGTGTAAAAACGGTGTGCCAACTTTTTTTCAGCCAGTTTCACTGGATACAATCCAGAATCTAAATGGGGCTTATGCGGCTAACTAAACTATTGTTAATTGTTGAATTATTTTAAATGATTTATTGACGAATTATCACAGGCTAATTAGTTGAGCAATCATTTGAGCCAAAATAATATGTAATAATGTGGAGACACGAATTCAAATACAAAATGTTTAATGACACTTTGCCTCTCGGTTAACTAACTAATCTCACGACAGGAATGGATCACTTTTTATTTTTTATTTTTTTCATTTACGGGAAACACCCATTACAAGTTTGAATACAGTATGAATATAAGAATATAATGAATATAATAAATACACCATGTCTCAACACATAGGTACTCACTTAACAATTTCGATAAGGAAATTAGAAGAATAAAAACATGAAACGAAACAATAGGCTAAAGCTATCACGCAAAGACATCTTAAACTTATTAAATGAACATCCTAATACATCTAAATTACCTTTATTTATGAATCTTAATGTCCTTTCTATTGGATTATGCTGTCCATAATTTGTGACATGAAA